ATAAAGAAGAGCTGTTAGTAAAAAAAAAAAGTATCCTGCAGTTTTAAAATATTAAAAATGATTTTAACAACTTGGATAAATTATAGAATATGACTATTTTAAACATTTTTATTGAATAGCATTTAAATGATAACAAAGGTAGAACTTCAAAAGAAACAAAGATCTCTCAAAAAGGATGTGAAATTCTTATAAATTGTTTCTGGTTTAAAATATTTTGTGACGCAAAGATTAAAAGTATTTAGGTGATATTTTTTTTATTATAGGAACATGAGATAAATTCACTTACTTTTTCGTATTTAGAATAAAATTTTAATACGTAGTGACTGTATCGGATAAAATAGTTTTTCTTTCAAACTTCTTTAATAGTGTTGTGTATCACTAAGTTCTTTTGGTGTTTTTGTATAAGAAATACAAAACTAACAAGAAAATATTGCACTGTCATTTCGCTAAATATTACATAACAGTTAATACTCATACAGCACTCCAAAAAAGCAAGCAAGTACAAAGCACAAATGGCTTGTCATGCAACAAACAGGCATGCAAAGATGCAACATAAAAAGTAAACAACAACTAAGAGGCGAACGCGTGGTGTAGGTAGCGGAGGAAGCGGAAACGAGGAGTAAAAATTAACGAGAAATAGTCTCAGTTATTTCCTTTTGCCTGTTTTATATATCTAAAGAAAATAATGAAGCATCTAATGGGCTGAGAGGGGCTCAAAAGTGGGACCATGCAAAAGGGTCGCAGGCGGCCATGAAGTGACTCTCAATGTCGTATCACTGCCACCACCTACCACATGATGGTATGATTCGACATTGGAAAGGCCTCATGCTCGTCCTTTGACCGTGAGTGATTTGCAAGTGCCGAGTTTACAGTCGAGTGAAATGGCAAAAAAACAAAGAATCACATGAAATCAGAGGTAGTTGCTCACTTGAAAGCAGCACGTTTAATGATAATGATTAACACTGACAAAGTAAACTAATCCAAAGCCTCATTCAACTCCTCAAAAATTACAATCATTATTAGTTTAAATGGTTTGTAGCTCCCATTCCAATCATGTAGATACTCACCTTGAAATATTAATATAGAATATTACCGGGAAATAAAGAAGGATTTCACAAATTTAAAATCTAATGCTGAATGCGCCAGTGGATTAAGTGATTTTTTAATTAATTACTTAAGTTTATGGGAAGTTTAAATTAGATATTGTGCGTGTACTCAAAATTTAGAAGACGCATGCTTTAAATGTATCTCATACAATAGTGGGTTAATTCATGAATAAAAATTGAAACAGGTAGGATACTACATATCATACATTTTGATTCTAAGAAGCAGATTTTTGGCCTACATAAGTGCCCTTAATTCGATGTTTCTCAAAATCGTAGTCGAGTTATTAAAAATTATAAATTTTCCCCAATTACTAATTTAAATACATAAACTACTTTTTAAAATCGAAGTTGGTTTTAAAAGTATTTGATAACATATTTTAGTTTCTTACTTTTTTATTTTATATTATTTAAGTCTTTTTCCTATTGGCAATAAATTAAGGGGTGCGTCTTATGAATCGATGTAGCCTTAGAATAAAAAAATAAGGTATATATACGTTTTAAGTGTAGTATGCGTATATACTATGAATAAAATTTTTAGGCTATCATATCAATTCTAACGTTCCATATAATCAAAGTATTTTGAGAATTATTTTTATCTTAGTATTTTTTAATTTACCTTTATTTTTATTCTCCTCTCTTATATTGCATTGTTTATTTTTTTTATACGAAATAGTATATTTAAGCATCTGGAAATAGTGAATGCACGCAGAATGAGAATAAACTAGAGCAATTTTAAATGACGATGCAATTCCTATCTATATAACATTAGACGTTAGTAGAAACAAAATCAACGACTTGCATCACAGATATGAATTACACACAGAGATGAATTATGAAATGCTGAATTCAAAAAGATCTTGAGTATTAATTTTTTCATAGATTTATTTATTAATGTGGTTTTACTTTAATAAAATATATATTAATAAACTTAAAAAAAATTAATAATGAGAGCGGATCAAGGCATTAGAATGTGCTACATATTTACGAGCTCATGATGCTTGCTTAAAACATACTAATTTCAAAAAGTGCTACATTTTAGAATACCTTTTAGTCTAATAAGCATTTTAATTCATTAAATAAATATAAGAGTTATTTAAATTTAGTTAAAATAATAAACTACTTAAATGGAGGCAAATGAAAAGATTTTTTTGCTTAATATACCGAAAATTGTTAGATAAATTTTTGCAAATGCACAATTAAATTTTTTAATAAGACTTAGCATGAGATCTATGAAGAGAAGCCTTTTTTTTAACTAACAGAAACACTAATGCGAAGGAGAAAATAAAAGATAAAAATAATGCTAATTATTACAATTTTTACAAAACGTGCTGCTTCTAAGCTAGCAAATTACGTTCTATACATTTACTATATCATGAAAATAAGCAAGAAAATTTGAGAAATAACAAGAAAAATTTTAAATGACTTTAGAAATGAATAACTAATGAAAGCAATTAGCATTAATTTATAAAAAAATCATCTTACTCAGAAATACACTGAAAGATAAAATTGCACATGTATCCAAGACAAACAAGGCTCTAAATCTATAAACACTATTTCAGACATCTACAGTGAATTCAATCACAAAATATTTCACTTTCATATAATATGAAAAATGCTAAAGTAACGAATTAACTAATCATGCATGTTCTAACTAAATTAACAAGGCATAAGATTAAATTTAATTTACGTGCCTTGCAGAAAAATGCACAAGGACAGTAGAATTTAATTTTTATTTTATTGCATTTAATTTATTTCTTTAACTGAAAATAACTTATATTCATTAAAATTATTGTCACGTTAATTTTCATATTGCATATTCTTAAGCTACATATACCAAGTTATTTCCCCCCCGAGTTTTGACACATATTTGTTTAGGAAAGGAACAAAAGAATCGTTATTACGCTAAGCGAGTAAAAAAGGTTAATAGGAAGTAATAATGAATTTGTTTAAAACTTAGTAAAAAAAAAGTAGTAAAGTAAATTTCTGTATCGACAAATTGTATATAATTCTTGTGCTATAAATTCTGGTATTCTATCTTAACGCACACTGAAATCTCGTTACAACACCCATCAAAATAAAGTGGGCGCATTTTTTTTTCTTACGAAAAATTCTAAAATCATAATTATAATAAATGTATCAATATTAATGCCACAGTTACTTCAAGTTTTATTTTATGTTCTTATAAAGATTCCAGAATGCAGAATGACTCTAGAATAACAGTTTAAACAAATCACATTAAATTTAGTGGGTATTATGAACGGCAAGAGTATAATTAGCGATAGCTTAAACAAATGAGATAGTGTTACGTTAGGAACAGTCTCTGTTGTACATAAATGGAATGGTTACGCGTCATCAGTGTTATGTGATAGAGATATAAATATTCATATTTATCTTCCACACGAAAGCAATAAATGTTCATCGTTAGTGAAAATATGTGCCAAATTAATCCATTTTGACCGCAGTCGATACCAAGAATCGAGAGCACAGACATTATTGCTTTAGATGCAGCTGCTATTGTTTCTGTATCAAGACGACATCAGCGCAACTTATCAACTTTTATTGACCAAGTGCTCACATAAAATAGGACTTACATTGTTCAAACACACGCGGTTGAACATGCTAACATGGCCCACACAAATAACTCAACATTGAATTGTTACTCTCAGGCTAGTGAGACAATAAAGTAATTTGACGTATTCCTGTTTGCCAATTACATCACCTATGCTCAGTCACAGAGCACTAAAATATCCAAGACGACACCCAGATATCCCCTTGCATGGGCAAGAAACGTCAGTAACTAATCTTGTCGGATAAAAATAAGTCACTAAAAATAATAAATTCCGCCTCTTCCTGCATTATAATGATTCTGGGTTAAAATGTAGCTTAAGAAGTACCAAATCATTCTTTTTTTTTGCAATACAGATAGTGTCCTTCTCTGACAGCTACTTTCTCACTATAGTTTGGACTCTGGTTGTTATCTTTGAAGAAAACGTTAATAATGCAGAAGCATTTTACCCAACAGTTTGCATCAAAACTTGCCAAGAGGCTTCTTTCTGGCTGTATTTTGGGCTCTTTGGTTATTAACTCTCAAGAAAAAACTAATAATACAGGGACATACCCCTTGTAATTTACATCGAAATTTGCAAGAGGCTTTGCATGGATTTCAAGAAAACAACCTCATTTTTATTGGGCTCCTACAAGCTACTGACGGTTATGGGAACATCATAATAAATTTATCACACAATTTTGCTCTCAGCTTCTTTTGAAAAAATACAGTGTAACACCTAGGTGATATATTAGAACATGATGTGAGAACAGCTGAAACTTCTTCTCAGACTGTGCGGGAATTGATGGATCGAACTGAGGTTTTGGATATCACATGAGTCGACGTACGCACGAAAAATGGTAGATAGCATTGTGAAATATTTTCATGCACATCAGAAAGCAGTACTTGCGCAGATAGTTGGACCAGTAATTTAAGTAGGAACGTCCTAGGTTATAAAGCTACTAAAAACAGCTTCGAGGAGTACTTCATGTTTTACTAAAATTATCTAACTAGATGTACAAGCTTTGAAACAGATAAATTTCATATTTTCTTTCATAATACGTAACATGAGCTACACATTCAGGATTAAGGAAATATTAGTAATTCAGTGGCAAAAATACCCGATATAAACTAAATCTGCAGGATTAAGAGATTTGTATATGCCTGTGTAACTAGCAGGCCAATTCAGTGCCTTAGTATTACAGAACTACCATGACAGATGTTGTAACGAGAGTTTATAGAAATCTATGATACGTATAAAATTACAGTATTCGCGGAAATCGGAAATGAAAGGCTTTTTAAGCTCTCTAATTTTAAAAGGGAAGAAGAATGAAGAAAGTTCCGCAAACCTCGTCTGTTTCCGATCCAAGGAAGAGTAGGTCGAAGGGTATGGCTGCCACGACGTCGATGATGAACCATCCCCGAAGGTAATGGACGGCAATCTTGCCGGGGTGGCTGACCACCTCGTCGTTAGAGTTGACATACGTGGTTCGGAAGTTGATGAGGATGTCGATGATGAACATGACGTCAACTAGCAGGTCGATCACCACTATTGGGTCGTCGCCATACTTTTTGTTGCGCTTGTCCGCCTTCTCCTCGCTGAGGAGAAAAGCGGCCACATAAGGCGTGAATATGGCCGTGTACATGACCAGCAGCAGGATGATCCAGTCCCATACCGCCTTGAAAGGCGAGTAATGCAGGATGGTCCATTTGTGGACTGTAGGTTTCTGCAGTTTGTACTCGGGCAACACATCAGCTCCCAGGGACAGCACCTGAAGAAGAAAAAAACAAATACAATTAAAATGTATCAAGAATATTACAACAAAGGATTATTTCAAATAGATAATCAGACTGTTAAAATGAAATCACTATTGAAGATAATGCTTAAAATAGACTAATCACTTTTCAAAATCAAACAAAAGCAACATTTATGTGTCAAATATCTCAGGCAATTTTCAAATGATTATCCTTAATAGAATTTTTAACTCTTTCGCATTGATAATAGTTAATATATAACATTCTAATGCTATGTATCTTTTAACATTTGAGGAAATGCCTCATTCGTCCTATGCATAGAAAGGCTTTGTAAAATAATTCGAATTTTCTGATAAAAGACCGTTTAAAATATGCTCACATTATTGTTAATACTGAAGAAGGAAAATAAATTTTTCCGTAATAAAGCTCTGATTTCTACAAAACATATTGTCAGACATGGGGCGTAAGGATTCCGTTCTGCCTACGTTATGACATTTATGCTTCTTTATTCCTTTGTAAATTTACTCTTTGTTGTATTTTAGATGACTGTATCCTTGGACACAAAAGTTTGTGTTTTTAATACTGGAAATTTCAGCAGTGTTCAGTTTCTAACAGAATGACACATAAAATAACGATTTTTATCTCCTTTATTGTGTGATTTTTATCCTCTTTAAATGTACTTACGAAACTGCGTTTGAATGCAAATATTTTCAGTAACAAATTAATAATGGAAATACACATAAGTAATAAAAACAAATTTAACTATTTTTATTATGAAGCGTCAAAAATGAAACAGTGGCTTATTTTTTTTGGCGTGAAGTAGTAAAATCCGATTTGTGAATTTTTTCATAAAAGTCACCAAGGATTGTTTTTGAAACTCTTCAATATTTTAGTTACAAATTCAACAATTGTTTTCATATTTTTGAGTTGGTTATGCGTGTTTTAATGTGCACTTCATTATAATTCATGTAATTTTCAAAACGTTCATACTACTGTTAATTTTCAAAACGTTCATATTATTGCTCATGAGTTCCAGATATTCATAGTGTGTTTTCGAATTCTTTGCAGTTCAACAGTGGTGTGGTGGTGGTGTATTTAATTATGGCAAAGCACACTAGGGCTATATGCCTAAGTGGAGGGATGCCTTCGTGGAGGACTTTGTAAGGGAAACTGGCTCGTATACACGTTAGACATGGGGAAAACCACGAAAACACCCATGCGGCTAGCCCGTTCGCGGGATTCGAACCTCGGGCAGAACTACCAACCTCGGACAGAATTATTTTACAAAGCCTTTCCAGTGTTCAGCGACTTTACCGCTCGGCCGCTGGTGGGCCAGTTCAATTGGACTAACGCTGATTTCAAATAAGTTATTCCAAGCATTTCAAGATGCACATATGACGCGGATCTCTCTTCAAAGGATCTCACTCCTCTCTCTTTTAGTAGGCATAGGTATTCTCTATTTATCCGAGATCAGGATACTTACTCATAATGAAATGTAACGAAAATCAAACTTTTTCTTAAAATATGCGAAACCTGTTCAATTGAAATCATCACAAATTCTAATGTTAAATGTTGCTTAATTTTGTGATAATGTTGAGTGAGTAAATTTCTGTAATTTAAGTTTTTTATTTATGGTTTTATTTATGGCTTATTTATTCATATACTACAAAAGTAATTTTTCCTGTATTCACGACATTATGAATGTATGTCATACATCTAAAAATAAACAGCAGAAAAAACTCATCATTATACTCTGAGCAATATTTCTAATGATCATAAATTTTCAGGACTAGTTTCAAAGTTTTAAATATAGAATCTTTTCCTTCAGCTGCAGAAGTGAAAATCTTCAGCTGTAGTGCAAATGCACTGCAGCTGAAGAAGCTGATGTGCAGAGTAATGAAGAGGTGAAGACTGAGAAGTGCTGTTTTGAAGTTCAATGCTGAAGAATCTGAAGACTTCTTCAGCTGAAATGCATGCACAGCACTTCAGTGCTTCTTCTTGAAAATGTATGGATATTAGATTAATTTTTATCTAATATCCATACATTTTCAAGGATAATCGTTATAAGGCATGTTATTTTAAATCAAATTTCAAACTTCGTTATATGCCAGCACGTTTAGTTATGAACGGAAGCTGTTGCTTATTGTTAAACTTGCTGTAGTGAGGGATCAAGGTTTATGATAAGTTTCATGAAAACTATTAAAGAAAAGCCTGAAGAAAAGCTAACGTACCTTTTGACATTCTGTCTCCTCAGATGAAGCTTTTTCATTTCTTTCCTTATTTATGATGTATTTTTTCGGAGACCACTTCCTCCTCGCATGCAACCACAAACGCAAGTTCAATTTGCTGAAGGTTTCGCGTTTAGGTTTCTTTTTTCTTAAGTGAATTCGAATCGTTTGTTTTACTGAAACCGAGTAACTAATTATAAATAACGCGAGTGATACGAGTATCGCGACTTCTACAACGAAAATTTGCTCGATCAACATTCGTCACTTTCGATCACATGAGAATATTATTTCACAATTGTGGTAGGTTGGATGAAGATATTCAGGCTAACTGAATGTTATTTTCTTTTTTAAAAAAGGCTGTTAATGATTAGATTATTTTATTTCGAAAAATTTATTTTGATATCAGTTATTATTTTACTGTGATTCATTTACCAATCCCACAAGCAAAGGGATAATTTTTAAGAATGTTTATATTTTAAAAGCTTATGTCTTAGGAAAAACATAAATATCTTTAATTGCAGAAAATTATTAGAATAATTGAATTTATGTGAGGCTTCACAACTTAGATAAGAATTCTTGTAAGATTTTAATGTATTACTAATAAATTTACTTGCAAGTGATTTTAGATATGCATCTGACTGCACTTGTAGATTTAATATGACTATAAATCAAATTTGTTATTAAAATAAAATTTACAAAAACAATGTATATGAGAATGTATATAGCTATCTATATTTATATTCAAAGTATGTATGAATTTATATACATATTTTTTACTTAACAGCTGTGTTATAAGACTAATATTTCTAAAAATAAATCAAAGTTTAGATTTAAGTATAAATAGTAGCAATAACTTATTAGGGATCTGAATATAAATGATGAAATTTTTTTCATGGAAAAAAAACACATTCGTAAGGTAACAAACATGTTTAATACATTCGTAAGGTAACATAATATCGCAGGAATTTAATAGATAAAATCAGATTTGCAGATTACTGCTATTCCTAATAATACGGGAAGTATATCTATAAAAGATCTTAGTGGATTAGAGTATCGAAGATTATATATATTTTTTCCCCTTAGTCATATTAAGGATAGTGATTTTATTGTGGCAGAATAAATACCAAATTTTTCATAAGTATCAGTTTTTTTTTCAGATATATACACGGAAAGCTGAATTTCCAGAGTTATTTCCTAATTCCTGTTATAACTATTAGATTATTTTATCATCTTTAAATGATTTTAATGTTATTCTTATTAGAATATAAGTAAGAAATATATTGGAAAATAATTTTTCTGCATAACTTAATTTTTGTTTCAAGATTCCAGGTCATTTGAGCTTACATGAAGAAACACATGTGATCTTTCAGGATTTTCACCCGTTAATTTTGGATGACAAAGCCGACAACTGGCTATAGCATATGGACACTTTTAAGAGAGATTAAAGGACAAGGTTTGATTTGAGAATAATCAGGAGTAAAAGGCAGCATCTGAACGATGCAAACAGTTTAAGATGGGTATGTTTTGAATCACTTATGAAAATCAATGTTCGTTTAGATTTTCTACAGCCAAATTTTAATAAAATTATTAACGTAAATTCTAGATTGAGAAATTGACGGAAAATTTGATGCTACTGCCGTAACTGCCATGCTTGTTCTTCGCCATAAGCTAGTATCCTAATCATTCATATATAAAAAAAGGAATTATTTATATGAATAAAAAGAACAAAATAAGGAAGTAGTTTTGGGTATTTATAATTTTTGTAAATATATATCTAAGTTTTGTGATAATAATTAGCATACAGTATGTTAAATATAATTTAAAAATTTAATTTTAAAATTTGCGATCTCTGTGAATGTATGTCATTTTGTACAACAATTTTGTTTTGAGTTAATTACACACATAATTGATTACATGCTTTGGATTCTACCCATATTTGACAGAAGCAGAGACTAAATTTATCCTTTACAGAAAAATTCCAAAGCAAGTTACAATATTTAGATATCTTACTAAAAAGGAAAACAATATTTTATACATATTTTGGCCAATATTTTCCGTTTTTCTCTCTAACAGAATTTAATATTTAGGAAATGAAAGAAAAAACACAATCACCAAAACTTATTCAAAGATGGATCTTAAAAATATTACATTTCAAGTGCATGATAACTGGATAACAAATGCTAATAAATGTGAAAAAAGTCATGGCAGGGATTATTTCATTTTTGAAATAATTTCTATTTATTAAAGCCTAAGAATTCAGTAAAATTATTTTTTTCTCTTAAAATGTTTATAAAAATATGTAATTTTCTAAAGTGGTTTCTCAGCTCCTATATTTTTGCAAAATAAGAGATCTTAAAAAGTAATATTTCAAATTCCAATAATTACATCCGCGATTTCTCGCTAAATGAACGCATAAATGATTTCGTGTTTCAAAATACTTAAATTTTAAATGATAAATATTGACTTTTACAGTTTACAGAAGAAAACAATAAACGCTTTTTTGTATATGCAATCCATTTCTTCCGATTGAAAAAGTGCACCACAAAGCGTTCAAAGATAGATATGAAAAATTTGATAAAAATGAAAGTTAGAGAATTATTTGAATCATTTATGAATTCTGAAATGACAGCTGGATATCAAAACTATAAGAAGAATGGTATATTATTATTTCAATTTTCAATATTTTAAGATAATGAATCACTTATCTGTTACATCGACTCATCGATAATTCATTATTTTTTCAGGTGATGAAATCATTAATAGGGTTAATCCTTAATAGGGTGTCAAAA